ACCTCTCATTTACGAACATAAAAAAAATAAATTTTAAGTAAACTAAAATTTTTAAAATTTCGCTTGATTTGAATTTGATACTTTTATCAATTTTTTGTAAAACGATTAAGATTTATATTTAACTGTTGGGAATTTGATTGCTGCGAAAGAATATTAAAAGTAAATTGTTTAAAGGGAGATGTAACAGCACCGTGTGTCGTTACCTGTGTATTATTGTCTATTCATTTCTAGTTCTTGCCTTTCGTGCTTGTTCTTTCTCTCTATTGTTTTACTATCGTTCGTGCTCGTCACTAGAACGAGATGATTGTTGTTATCATTATCGTCAGAGAGAGAGTTGTATATTTTTGAAGGTGTGCGTTGTGAAGTTATATGTCTATGCAAGTGTTACAGTTGAACGACATACATCGCTATATTTCATTCATTTGTTCCTCTCTCTATTGCTCATTATCAAGAGAGCATTTGTTCGATTTATTCGTATTGTTTATCTAGCATTGAACTTGTCGAACACCGAGGCATCTCAAGTGGCACTCATGACTGGGTAAAGTTGATAAAAGTAATTATTAAATAATTAAAGTCTTCACACCAGAAAACAATCAATAAATATTTACTATTTCAATATATCTCATTCACTGCACAATAAACTTAAATATATATGTCGCAGGAGAAATTAAAATTCAGGAAAATTTAAAATTTTCCTAGGAAAAATTAAAATTTTAATTTCTCCTAGGAGAAACTAAAATTTCAATCTTAACTGGATATTTTCTAGGAAAACTTAAAATTTTAGTTTCTCCTAGGAGAAATTAAAATTTTAATTTTTCCTATAGGAGAATTTTAAATATTCCTGAATATATAATATCAAATTTATTACTTTTATATTTCAAAAATACAAAGATTAAAGTAGACATTTCAACGTGGTTTCGTTTTTTGATAAATCACATTTAGTACCACATTGTATTTTTGCTGCTCGAGAACGACATTTCTTTGTTGAAAAGTGCCATTACAATTACATGCTTCAGTGAGAGTAATTAATCCTGCACTTACATAAGCTTTACAGGCTTGAATGAACGTCATTGCTAGTAAAGCTGTTGAATCGACATCATGTAAGTCACGAACGTTACAGTTAGATAAAAATTTAATAGATCTAGTGGTTGAAACTGTGAGGAGATTATACCTGTTCACCCAGAATTTGAGCTAAGAATCTCCCTAATCATCACGGAGAAACAAAATTATATCATCATATAGTGATTGTTTTATAGAAAACTTATCTTGACACTTGTCATTTAAACCTTCGATATGATTATCAAGTAATTTATAAAACTGTTCCAGGGACATAAGAGCGTGAGTTTTGACTATCTACTCAAATGATATACTAGGCGTTTAAGTGTACATTTTTATTTGCTTCTGATTCTCTATCGATTCTACTGGACGTAAAAAATATTCTAATTTTTCCCATAGAAAAAATTAAAATATGAAGTTTATTTTATATGTTTAGGAATATTTAAAATTCTCCTATAGGAAAAATTAAAATTTTAATTTCTCCTAGGAGAAACTAAAATTTTATGTTTTCCTAGAAAATATCCAGTTAAGATTGAAATTTTAGTTTCTCCTAGGAGAAATTAAAATTTTAATTTTTCCTAGGAAAATTTTAAATTTTCCTGAATTTTAATTTCTCCTGCGACATATATATATATATTCATAATCGTCAATTTAACAATTACACTATTAGTGCATTGCTTTCGTTGTTGTTCTTTTGATTCGCAAACATCTAATATGTCTACTGGTGATGCTCATACACAAGATCAACTTCCTATTAATTATAATCTTGATGATTCATCGTCATCTAACCTAATATTTAATCGATCAACTATTTCAAAAGCCTCACCTCAACCGATTAGTACAGATTTTAATCAGGTTTGGGTGTGAATGTGCCTAAAGCAAAGACTCACACCCACACCCGGATCCTAAACTGTTCTCATATGACATCTATATGTCATATTCTATGTTTACAATAAATGTAGAGATGTAAGCCGAGCGGCTGAGCCGCTGCAGCCGAAAGCCAAAAAAAAAGTTAAACATTTTCAGCCGCCGTCACTGACAGAGAACAAATGTACTAAAAATCACCCCGCCGCCAATCAATGTATCCGCTATACCTCTAAATATCGTGTCTCCTTGATTGCGGGCGATTTTTCTTAATTGGAGAAAAAAT